TTTAAGTTAACTTCTGAGTTCTCAATTTTTAATGGCATTCAATATTCTATCGAACAACAGGGCTTAAGCTCTTGTCATGTTAACATGTCTCTCCGTATAAACATTACTCTGTCATATAGCATACAGATTACACCTCCACAATAAGCCCATCCTACTGCAACCAACAGCGTCCAAATCTCCAAAGCCTGGAGCCTTCTGTGGCAATTTTACCTCCATCTCCTCCATCCCACGCAGAAGCTACAGGATTTATCTCTCTAGGTGTCTTCTACTCAAAGTTGTTTTGTAACTCTCAAAGCTTTGTCCAGTATAGACCCACTCAATCCATTCTTTCGAATATACAATGAGTCTAAAACCAGATGCTCCTGGGGCGATGACACTGAGGGTAGTTTAGGCTCTGAACCTAGCAAAGTTTATGACACACAACAGATACCCAATAAAGGTTGAGTGTCACTGACCAGAAATTGAGCATCTCTAACCCTAGAATCTGAAACGCAAAATGTTCTGAAGTCCAGAACTTTGTAAACAAAGTACTTCGGAGCAGTTTGGATTTTGAGATCAAGGATGCTCCCTCCACCTGTAAAGTCTGTGCAAACAATCACAGTGTTGGAAAAAGTAAAGAACATCTGTAACGCCCCTCTCCCAGGAAAAAAAGGGCAGGACTATCCCCAGAGGCTTCGTTCCTTCCTAACAGGTTTTTGGGTTCCACAACAACTGGAAAACTGGTCTTTAAAGACAGTCACAAAGAATCACAAACAGACAATAATAGACTTCTGTGATTAAAAGAAAACAGCAGGAGGTCGATATTGTGACAGAGCAGGTAAAGCCCAGTTGGCAACACTGGCGCCCATAGGCACCCTATATGAGTGCCAGTTCAAGTAAGCCCCAGCTGTTCTACTTCTGATCCAGCTCCCCGCTAATGGCCTGGGAAAAGCAGTGAAAGATGGTCCAAGAGTTTGGGCCCCTGCCATCCATGTGGGGGACCCAGATGAAACTCTCTGAATTTCCTTCTCTCTCTGTAACTCTTTATAATAAATAAATAATCCTAAAATTTAAAAAAAATAGCAAAAAAGCATTTCAGCCTCCCTGCTTTAATTATTTTTAAAAATTCTCAATCTCATTATTAACTTAGCAGATTGGTTGGCATGGACCAAATAACCGCTACATAAAACCGTAATTTAAAAACAGTATTAAATTCCTACTGAATAATATAAGATCAGATTATTTTTCAAAATTAGTAATAACCATCATTAACTAAACCTTCTGAGTAACTCTCAGGTATATCCCCTAAAATTTTTTTGGTCTCTTTTTCTTCTAATGAGTGAAAGCCAGAAGTTCAAACTATATACACACATTCACACACAGTATATCTCATCTGCATACACGATATAATGTCATATAGTGTATGACATCACTCTTTGTAGGCAACCTGAATAAGAAAACTTACTGCCCATTATAAACATTACCAATGGGCATTTCTTAAACATTTATCTCTCGGCTGACTCTCACACACTCCATGACACTGATCCAACTCTAAAGCTGGAGAAAAAAAACCAACGTATAAAAATGTGATTCACATGTAACATTTCAGTAATATCACTGTTGTGGGTAAGGAAACAGACTCCTTAGAGATCCTGTAGCACAACCGAAACATACATGGATCTTTAGATGATCTACCAAAATCACAGTATGGCCATCATAAAAATCAATCCAATTCTCCTGCTCTCTAAACAAAGGACTGATAAATCCAGCATTTAGAATGTAACAGAAATCTCAATTTATCTTTACCAACTTAACAACCTCATATCAAATGCTGGCAGCAAGCCATCACAACTCTCCTTCTTAACAATGAAGGTAAAACTCATGACCAAAATAGAGCTCCCAGAGCTGTATTTCACTTGGATTGTATCCACAGCAAAATCTTCACAACTTAACTATCTGGATTCAAGAAATTGGACTGGGGGTGGGGGGGCAGGGGGTGAGGGCAGAGAAGAACTTCTCTGAAAAGCAAAGGTTATAAAATATCACTAACAGTATCTCAATTGTTATCAGCCAAATGGCAGGGGCAAAGGGGTCACTTGATGGATGACAGAGCCATGAAAGAAAAAAAATAACATTGGTAATGGCTTCATAGTGGTGCTTATGATCAAAAACTGTGAGCATCCAACACCCCAACAAGTTATAGGTTGTGATCCAAGACCTTAAATGCAGAATAAAATGCCAATGCTCTGCCTCCCGAGAGAAACATACAACCCCCTAAACTGGTGAACACCACCCAACCAACACCCGGCAGAGTGGATATTTTCAGTATCACATCAGGAAATCATGGTAAGTGCTAGCGGTTCCTCTAGGCCTCAGCAGCGCCTGAGGTGTAAGAGCAAACTCGAGCCCTCTTCACCCTCAAAGAATAATGTTGATGTCATGACGAGGCTACTGCTTCTTTGCACTCCGGACAAGTCATGCCTCGATCCACAACGCAATTCTTCCCCCACCCGCCGGCACCCCTCGAAACGCAGCGATCTCTACCCAGAGGAGCCCTCGGGGTACCCCCAGCCTCCTCTACCTCCAGCGGCGGCCGCTCTCTCCTCCCTCGGGCTCCGAGGTGGGGGCTCCAGAAGGTCCCGGGCAATCCCGAGCCCGGGCGGTGCTTGTTTGCCTGACAAGGTAGCTCCGGCCGGCCGCCTCCTTCCCCAGTTGGCCCAGACTGGAGCGCTGCAGGGTACCCGGGGGCCGGGGAGCGAGCCCGGGCGGCGACGTCGCCGCGGCCGCCGCCTCTGGTATGTCAGGGGCCGGGATTGTATTTCGAAAGATCCGCCATTTTCACCTCGTCATCACCATCACAGCTCAGCAGCTTCCCCGGCAGCCCGAGCCCGGGCCGCCGCCGCCGCCGCCAGCAGCCGGCCCCCCGCCTCCCCGTCCCCGCCCCGGCCCGCCCCTCCCGAGAGGCGCACACCCACATATCCGGGGAAGCCTCCCGCCGGCCCCGCCAACCTTCAAACGCACCCGGAGGAACAAGTGCTCACGGGCCACGCCAACCTTTCACCCCCGAACCACACGCCGAGCCCGGCGGCCCCGCCGCGGCGCCAGAGGAAGTCGCTCTCCCGGCGGGTCCCAAGTCCGGCATAGGCTTGTGTGCAAAGGCAGCCCAGCAGAAGGCGGCACCGGGACAATAAAGAGCCCAAACTCCCTCATTTTCACGAAACCAACTTGAGGGAGGTGGAGGCGAGGGCTTCTTTCGCGGCGTCCATCTCAGACGCTACAAACATTGTCCGCACCGTGAATGTCACTCACCAACTTTGACGTATTACTCTAACCGCAGAACTACTTTGACAGGACGGGCGATTTCCATATGCTAGCCCTGACCTCTCTGACACTTTCCTAAACTACAGGCACCGACCCTCAGCCAGGTAGGCGGTCAAAAACGAGCCACCAGTTAAAAACCAGGATCCGAACTGTTTTCCTCTCCACTCAACTTTAATCTGGTCACTTCTGTCCACGAACACTGTGACGACCGGACTTCAAAGTGCGACTGGATTTGAAATGTACTGATCCAATTGTGGAAACATTCACGATCAATTTCCAAAATACGGAAAATATAGCTCTAAGCTAAAATTTCTTGCCAAATGTTTTTAGGATCTAAGTCATCAAATTGAAAAACCATCTGCCGCTGCTGTTTTGTTCAATACAGTGAAAATAAACAGTTTGCTTTAGAATAAGACCCCAGTTGCCCCATACTCCCACCAGTTCCTGTCATCATTCAGTTAAATAAGCAATTAAAGGAGAACATACATATTTTCTAATCACCTAAGAAGAAAAACATTAGCTGCAAAGCTTCTGATGAAATCAGCATTTGGAAAAAAATCAGTTACCTTTGTTAATTTCAGAAAGATCACCCCTTCAAAAGATAAATTCTATACCACTAAACCACGCCATAAGCTCTAAAGGACCTACATAAAACAAGCAAATTGAACTTCAAGGTTGCGAATACAGCCACTCTCAGTGCCTTTTTTGAAAAGTTAGTCTGAGGAGAGGAAGGTGGAAGTGGAAAAAGCCATTTAATTCCACCTTGTGTGAAAGGCAACTCCATACAAAAGTCGGCGGCTCCAGGCGTAAACAAGTGCTATCCTCCAGCCGCTCCAACCCCCGCTTTCCTGTGCAGCCTGCTCGGCGCTCCGAGTCTAAAGTGTTCCCAATTCCCTCATCCTTAAACTTCACCAACCCACCGACAGCCCGGTCCACCCGCACCCTGCTGGGCTGTTTACCGTTGCGTGGCCAAGCTGAGCCCCAGCCCGCTCCCTTCCCCCGTGCACCGCGGGAACACTGTGACATTTAGCTGGTGGGCTTCGCGAGGAAAACGGACGCACACGAAGAAGAGTCCATACAAAGGGGCGTAGGAAGAAGGCGGCGGCGGGCAGCAGGCAAAGGAGGGGCTGATACCAAATGACACAGCAGCAAAACCGGTTCCCTGACACCGGGGCCCACACGGCCGGCTTCTCGGACCGCGCTGTGCGCCTGTCCACAGCCGTAGGAGTCCTTCCTCCAGTCAGCCGGGCAGGGCGGCCGGCACGGCGTTGGCCCTGCCGAGTGACAGCCGCCCTCCCGGGGGCCGGCGGGAAGGGGCCGTGCCCTGAGGATCGTCCGCCCCCTGCGGCCCGGGGATGGGGCGCGGCGGCCCCCAGGCGGCAGGTGCCCGCTCTCCGCCACTGCCCCGCCGCCCAGGCTCCCGGGGGGAGCGGTTCGGCGCCCTCCGCCCGCGCTGCCATTCGCAGCGGAGACTGGCTCCCCCTTTCCCGCCCGCCCGGTAGCCCCCATCTCAGGGGCTGACACTCACCAAAGCCGGCGGCGCCGCCGCCTCCTCCTTGCGCCGCGCTCCCTGGGCTCCCAGCAGCCGCGGCGGCGGCGGCGCCTCCGAGGCACAGACCCGGGTTTGTTCAAAATCACGCGCCCAGCGCCATTCCACCGCCGCATCCCATAATACGCCGGGCCCTCCCCGCCCGCGCGCCCCTCTCTGCCCGCCCCTCCACTCCGCCCGCCCCGCCCCGCCTCGCTTAGCTCCCCGGGCCGGCTTCCTTCGCCCCGCCCCTTCCGCGGCGCCTGGCCCCGCCCCTTGGCAACCCGAGCCGCGTCATTCCGCAAGGCTCCGTGAGTACGCTCCGGCTCCACGTGACTCCGACTGGGCGCCCTGTCAAAGCTTTCGCACGGAATGTTCCATCTCGCCGAGCCGGGGGTGGGGGACGGTGATCCCGGATCGCGCCAGCAGTTGGCAGAGGCCGCCTTCTCGCCTCGCTTCCCTTGTTAGGAAGTCCATGCTGGAGGTGCGTCCTCCAGCATCCTCCCTGTTTGATGTGCTCCTAAGGCGGCGATTCGGCACAAAAGCCGAATCTCTTGGTTTTATAGGTACTGCTTTTGCAGGAGTCGCTAAAAAGCCCCTGGGAAACCACGCAGAATTAAACTTATTTTGTAAGGGACTTCTTGCTTTTTTTGCAATACTGTATACAGCTAAGACTAACGGAGTCAAATTTCTTTGTATTTAGTCATCTTTTCTATTATTATCCCCACTAGTTACAAGACATCCGAATGTGAAGTCGGAAAAACAGGCTGTGAAAGACCACTCAGTTAATAAATGCTCGGTGTTTGAGACGAGAACTACACAGCAATAGAAAAGGTAAAAGAATGTAAATGTAACATGGTGTGCAACAGCATGTAATTGCCAATGGAGTCAGAGGACGGTCAGATCGATTTGAAATACCAGCTAAGGACCACAGTGGAGGAGACGAGAGAGGTCGCAGCAGAAGCTGCAACCATTTGGAATCAAGCATTCTAGTTTTAAATTGACACCTCCACTTACTGGTGTATAAAGTTTCTTCTCCCATCTGCAAAATAGAAATAACAAAACTTCTCCCAGGATTCTGAGGGTTAACTAAGATGAGTGATGTCAAGTAGCTTCAGGGTCTCTGCCTCAGTTCTGCTGTGCCATAGTCAGTGCTAACTGGACTTCAAAGCTCAACCACTAAGACCTAGAAAGGCTGGGGTGGGCGTTTGGCCTGGTGGGTAAGACACCAGTTAAGGTATTTGCATCCTGTGTCAGAGTGCTCCTAACTTCAGCTTCCTGCTAATGTAGACCCTGGCTCAAGCAATTGAGCTCTAGCCACCCAAATGAGAGAACTGGATTGAGTCACTGGCTCCTAATTTCATACTATTGTGGGATACGGAGAGTAGACCAGTGAATGAGAGCGTTCTCACTCTCGCTCTCTTACTCTCTCCCGCTCTCTTCCAGTCTTTCTGACTGATAAATAAAGATTTAGCAAGGCAAGGGGACTGAAATTAGTAAGAGCTTGGAAGTGGGAAGGTATGTGGCATGTGCAAGCAATGTGGGAAAATCAAGTGATAAAACCGGCTTTTTGGGGGGTTCAATAGTATGACCCATTTTATGAAGAGCCTTAGGAGTTAGTATGACAAATCCTCATAGTCAAATGATTATTGTACTAGATAATACTACTATTATCTACCCAATGTGGGTCACTTTTTTAAAAAAGATTTATTTATTTATTTGAAAGGCAAAGTTGTACACACACACACAGAGTAAGAGCGAGAGTGAGAGCAACAGAGAGAGAGAGAATCTTCCATCCTCTGGTTCACTCCCCAAATGGCTACAATGGCCGAAGCTGGGCCTATCCAAAGCCAGGAGCCAGAAGCTTCTTCCAGGTCTCCCACATGGGTGCAGGGCCCAAGGATTTCTTCTGCTGCTTTCCCAGGCCATTAGCAGGGAGCTGGATTGAAATGGAGTAGGTGGGACTCGAACTGGTGCCCATATGGGAAGCTGGCACCACAGGCAGCAGCTTTACCTGCCACCCTATAATGCAGAACCCACGTTCACTTCTTGGTAAGTGGAAATCAAAACCTTCACCAAAAGTAGTTGTCACTAAAGGTAATTTTTATATAATTTTTTATTATTTTTAAAAATTATTTATTTGAAAGGCAGAGAGAGAGAATGAGAGACAGAGATCACCCATCCTCTGGTTCATCCCCCTGAAACAGGGTTAGGCCATGAGCTGGGAATTCAATCCAGGTGTCCCATATGGATATCGGGGACACATCTACTTGAGCCATCATCTCCCAGCATGCACATTAGCAGGAAGTTGGAATGGGAAGCAGAGCTGGAACTTAAACTCAGGCACTCTGATATAGGATGCAGGTATCCCAAATGGCATCTTAACTGCTATTCCAATCAGCGCCTTCCACAAAGTAATTTTTATTTGTAGCAAATAAAGATACTGTGGGGAATCATTTTCAAAGCTGCAGCTCCCTGAGCAAGGGAAATCAGGTACCTCTTATTTTGAGTAGGAAATGACTATTCCAAAGGGGAATTTTGTCATTACATGTAGAGGTGTGTATAAGTTTGCATAAGTGCAATTTGGAAACACTCTTTTACAAACTCGTGGTATGGTAATGGGACTTAAGTTCCTCCTCTGTGGAGATTTTAGCATTAACTTTAAGTAAAGGGTGACTTTTGGACACCTTTTGATCCATTTTGAGTAGAGTTTGGGCCACTTTAGGGTAGCTGGTGATTGCATCTCTCCTTGGAACATGACTGAAAACAAGCATGAAAGACAAAAGTTTTGGAAGTTTCAGGGCTCTTAAGTAGAAATGAGTCAGGTTAAAGACTTTGAGCTGCTTGGAGCATTAACTCCTGAAGGAAAGGAAGAAGGGAGTGAGGTGGGCTGCCCAAACCAGACTCGATTTGGGGAGAGACTGGAATCCAAAACAGAGGAAAGTTTCCAGCTATTCCACAAATCTAGTCATTCTGATACCAAAACCTAAGACAGCATCAAAAAAGAAGGGAAATCCTTTGAGTCTCACTATGAGTTGTTAGACAAAATTGAGTATTGAAATGTTATCATATTTAACAATGTGGTGGTAAAAATAATTCACACTGTGGCAAAGTTCAGTTTAGTCCAAGAATGGTGGTTTAAAATCTAACTTACAGATTTATGAATTGGATTAAAGAAGAAAAACCAAATTATATATAGAGGTGTATTGCTTAACATTCAGCAATCATTCTGATTTTTTTTAATTCTTAGTAGATATAAAAAAAGGTTTCTTTAATTATGTCAAGATAATTATTACAAACCCAAGAAGGATGCAAGGATATAGCAGCTATTAAAGATTTTTCAGGGTGTCCCAGCCAAATGCAATTAAATAAGAAAAAAGGTCGGGGTGGGGTGGTATGGGAAGGGGTGGCAATTATTTAGCCTAGTGGTTAGGATGGCTGTTTAAGACTCCTGCATCCCACATTGCATGGAGTACCTAGGTTCGAGTCTTGACTCCAGCTTTCTGTTAATGCAGATCCTGGGAGGCACTGCTGATGATTCAAGTAACTGAAATCCTGCCATCCATGAGGGAGACCTGGATTGAGCTTCAGGTTCCCAGCTTCACCATTTTAGGCATTTGGAGAGTGAACCAGTGGATGAGAGCACTGTTTCTCTGTCTCCGTCAAATAAGTAAAAAATTTAAAAAGGGACTGAAATTGTGGTGCAATTGTTTAAGCTGCAACTTTCAACATAGGCATCCCATATCAAAGTGCTGGTTCAAGTCCTGGCACTCCACCTCCAATATGGTTTCCTGCTAATGTGCTTGGGACAGCAACAGAAGATGGCTGAAGTACTTGGGTATCTGCCACTCCTGTGAGAGACCAGTGTGGGGTTCTTGGCTTCTAGCTTCAGCCTGGCTCTGCCCTGGCTATTGTGGCCACTTGGAGAATGAACTAGCAAGATGGAAGATTCTCCCTCTCCTTCCCCCTCCTCCTCTCCCTCTCTTCCTTTCAAATAAATAAATCTTTAAAAAACATTTTAAAGAAATAAGAGGCACACTTACCTGGCAGGGGAGATACGATGGTCACGAAAGAAATAAGAGGCATTTGGGGCTGGCACTGGCATCCCATACGGGCGCTGGTTCTAGTCCTAACTGCTCTTCTTCCAATCTAGCTCTCTGCTGTGGCCTGGGAAAGCAGTAGAAGATGGCCCAGGCCCTTGGGCCCCTGCACCCACAGAGGAGACTTGGAGGAAGTGCCTGGCTCCTGGCTTCAGATCAGCGCAGTTCCAGCTGTTGTGGCCAATGGGGGAATGAACCAACAGAAAGAAGACCTTTCTCTCTGCCTCTCCCTCTCATTGTCTGTAACTCTACTTCTCAAATAAGTAAATAAAATCTTTAAAAGAAATAAATAAGATGCATTCACATAAATGCTGGAAAGAAGAAATTAAATGGTCCTTATTAAAAGTAATCATAAAGAGCTGGATGTTGTGGTTAATTACTTGGCCTGAACACTAACCCTGGCCCCACCACTTCATAACTGTGGGAACTTAGGCAAGTTATTTTCTTCTGTCTTAGGGTTCTCATCTATAAACTGGGCTAGTGCATATATGGTAAGATTGTTACAAAGATTAATGAAGTTAAGATGTGGAAAGCACTTCAAACAGTGTCTGCCATACAGCAAGAACTCAATGGCTAAAAGCTATTAATACTCAAAACCATAATACAGAGTCAAATACAATCTTTCACTTCAGCAAAGAAAGCATTTTAGCTCCGAAGAGTCTCTGCTGCTCAAACATCTGTATTTCAGAAGAAAATCTTTGCTTTATATTTACATGGTCACTTTTCCAAATGAACTAAAAACTGAAAATATTCCGCAACTATCGTGGGTCATTTACTGGATTCCAAGCACTGTGCCAGGCCCTGGGAATGAAACGGTGAACAAGACAGAGCAGCTCTGTCCAGTGGATTGCTCTGCAGTGATGGAACTGCTCCGCCTCTGCCTCTCTGTAACTCTGCCTTTCAAACAAATAAATAAACCCTTAAATAAAGAGTTGCTTTCGTTTCAAGTTAAAAGCCTACCAGGAGAAGATCCGCTGTAATGTTCTCATGTGCTTATCCTGCTAGAGGTGGAATGAGCCTTGTGGTTAGGAGTGGGGGTCCCCTTGTAGGAAGTAGATATTGCAAATGGCTGTCATCCTGAGGAGAGGCACATCTCCAGACAGGATATGGGAGCTTGAAAGAAGAGCGCAAGCAGACGGTGACAGAAATGCTGCCTCTTCCTAGGCCTCACCCATTTGGACCTGGACACAAAGATCTTTGTGTGAAGGAAGGAGAAAAATGACATCTGCCCCTAGCGAGACTGGAAACTCAATTGAGCTGCTATTACAAATCGTCTTAGAATTCTTCATGGCTTATAAACATTAGCATTTGTTTTCCTTGTGTGTTGGTTGGATTCACAGATCTAGACTGGGCTCAGCTAGGCCAGGTTGGATTCTAGGCTTAGAGTTGGGGTGTTACTTGTTCCACATATTTTAATTCTGAAGTCCAAGTATATAAGGCATTAGCTACTTGGGGCATGCTCTTCTTCTAGTGGACCACAGAAACCTTTGGGATTCAGTGTAAATGTGATATCCTTTTTTTTTTTTTTTTTTGAAAAAAAAGATTTATTTATTTATTTGAAAGGCAGAGTTACAGAGAGGCAGAGGCAGAGAGAGAAGTCTTCCATCCACTATGTTCACTCCCCACATGGCTGCAGTGGCCAGAGAAGTGCCAATCCGAAGCCAGGAGCCAGGAGCTTCTTCCGGGTCTCCCACATGGGTGCAGGGGCCCAAAGACTTGGGCCATGTTCTACTGCTTTCCCAGCCCATAGCAGAGAGCTGGATTGGAAGTAGAGCAGTTGGGACTCAAACTGGCATCTATATGGGATGCTGGCACTGCAGGCATTGGCTTTACCCACTATGCCACAGCGCTGGCCCCGTGATATCCTTTTAATAAGGCTACCCTACCGCCAACCAACTGGTACGTTGTCACTTCTGCCTACATACCATTGGTCAAAACAACTCATAGGGTCAAACCCAGTGTCAATAAGGTGGAAGAAATACATTCTTTCTGTCCTAGTGAAAAGTACTGCAAAGGTACAGAGCAAAGGGTGTAGATGCAGAATTCTAGTATAAAGAAGGGAATAAAGAAATAGGAGCAATGATGGATTGCATAATTTGACCAGAGTCTGTTTTAATTCCTCTGTACATAGTATATTTTCCCCCCTCCAGCTGCCTTTAAAAAATTACTTATTTATCTATTTATTTATTTGAAAGGCAGAGTTATAGAGTGAGAGAGAGGGCGAGAGAGAGAGAAATCTTCCATCCACTGGTTTACTCCCCAAATGGCTGCAATGGCCAGAATTGGGCCAATCTGAAGCCAGCAGCCAGGAGCTTTTTCTGGGTCTCCCACGTGGGTGCAGAGGACCAAATACTTGGGCCACCTTCCACTGCTTTCCCAGGTGCATTAGCAGAGAGCTGGATTAGAAGTGGAGTAGGGGCCAGTGCTGTGGCACAACGGGTTAACACCCTGGCCTGAAGCACCAGCATCCCATATGGGCGCTGGTTCTAGTCCTGGCTGCTCCTCTTCTGATTCAGCTCTCTGTTGTGGCATGGGAAAGCAGTGGAGGATGGCCCAAATCCTTGGGCCCCTGCACCCACGTGGGAGACCTGGAAGAAGCTCCTGGCTCCTGGCTTTGGATCAGTGCAGCTCCAGCCATTGCGGCCATCTGGGGAGTGAACCATTGGATAGAAGACCTCTCTCTCTCTCTCTCTCTCTCTGCCTCTCCTCTCTCTGTGTAACTCTGACTTTTGAATAAACAAATAAATCTAAATTGCAGGCTGACACTTCACCACAGCACCACCCTCAATGCCAGCTACTTTTAAGATTTCAATTTATCTTTGGTTTTCAGCAGTTTGAATAGTATGTGTCTATGTGTGTATATGTGTCCATCATTTTGACAGTTTTTCTGAGATTCCCTGGATGTATTCTTTGCTATTTTATCTTCTAGGTTTATTTATTTATTTATTTATTTATTGACAGGCAGAGTTAGACAGTGAGAGAGAGAGAGACAGAGAGAAAGGTCTTCCTTTTTCCGTAGGTTCACCCCCCAAGTGACCTCTACGGCCGGCGCGCTGCGCTGATCCGAAGCCAGGAGCCAAGTGCTTCCTCCTGGTCTCCCATGCGGTGCAGGGCCCAAGCACCTGGGCCATCCTCCACTGCCCTCCCAGGCCATAGCAGAGAGCTGGACTGGAAGAGGAGCAACCGGGACAGAATCTGGCGCCCCAACCGGGACTAGAACCCGGGATGCCGGCGCCGCAGGCAGAGGATTAGTCTAGTGAGCCGTGGCGCCAGCCTCTAGGTTTAATTTTTTTAATGCCTTTTCTTTCACTCTTTTCCTCTTTGGATTCCAATTACGTGTATGTTGGATCATTTTGTTCCACAACTTCTGAATATTCTCCCTCTTCCACCCCCTCTCACTCTTTCTTTGCCCTTTGGGCTTTTTTTTTTGGAGATTTATTTATATATTTGAAAGGCAGTTAGAGAGAGAGGGGTATAGACAGAGAGAGAGAGAGAGAGAGATCTTCCATCCACACCCTAGACGGGTGCAAGAGCCAGGGCTGGGCCAGGCCAAAGCCAGGAGCTTCTTCTGAGCCTTGCATATAGGGAGCAGGAGCCCAAGCACTTGGGCCATCTTCCACTGCTTTCTCAGGCCATTAGCAGGGAGCTGGATCAGAATTGGAGTGGCTGGGAAATGAACTGGCACCTATATATGATGCCGGGTGTCACAGGCACCTTTACCCACTATGCCACCTTTACCCACTATGCACACCCCTCACCCTCACTTTGGTTCTTAGAGTCCCTTCTATCGCCCTATTTTTAAATTCTTGGGTGCTTTCTTGGTTACGTTGAATCTACTCATGATTGCATTGAAGGAATTATTCATCTCTGTGATAATTCTATATTTTTACAATTTCCTTTTTACATTTTCTTTTAGTTTCCACTTCTCTGTTTTAACTGCTCACCTGTTCATTCATGTTGTCTTTATTGTCTTTTGAAGCTTTAATATATTATTCATAGTTATCTTCAGTTCTTCATCTGATAGTGCTAACGTTTTTAGATTGCTTTGTCTCCTGACAGTGTGATATTTGGGTGTTTTTCATAATTACAGATTGAATACTGTATCTCCTGTATGCTCAGGTAAACACTATTTATGCTGGGAAAGGGGCATGCGTTGTCTTGTGCTAGACTGTTGGTGTGAAAGGTTGAGTTAGTCTACAGGAATTGAGATGGGCTTTGGTTGCTATGGTGAACTTCGGCCCAGCAGAGTTTTCAAATTTCTTTTGTTACTTTGTGCTTAAAATAAAGGTTAGGTTTTATTCTCAATGCTGCTGTTCTACTTTCAGCTTTAAGCCTCTGTGCTATGCAGCTCACAGAGGATCTCTCTCCAAGCCCAGGACTTCCATCCAGTAGTAAACTGCTATTTGGTGCTGGGAGACTGGTTGGGATGTTGGAGGGAGGGACAGTTTCTCTGAAGTCCTATTCCAGCTTTGTCGCTCCCCCTCTTCGTGGAGGAGCAACACTAAACCCTGCCTAGGCTTCACATCCGAGTCACGGCACCATTATGTCGCTCCCCCTCTTCGTGGAGGAACGACACAGGACCCTGCACTGTTCTTTCGTCTGCTTGGCCCTTCCCGGGTTTGCTGCTGGTTCTTCCCGGGTTGGCTGCCGTCCCTTCCACCTCCGTGGAAGGGCGGTTCCCCCTGGCCACTTTCCCCACTTCTGCAGGGGAGCGGCACACCGCCGGCCGGCTCTCTCGGGGGCTGCACAGGTGTTCCCCTTAGATGTTCCCCTTAGATGTTCCTGGTGCATGCCGTCTCTCTCCTCCTTAATAGTCCTCCTCTGCCAATCCCAACTCGGCTGCCCACACGCCGAGTACGCTGCTCTCCTCCAATCAGGAGCAAGTCCTACAGTTTATTGGCTGAACTGGAGGCAGCTGTGTAGAAGCTGTTTTCTTCTCTCCCAGCGCCATATTGTGGGAGAGCAGATGCATAGAATAAGTCTTAATTCCAGTAACAGTCTAGTCCGAGTTGCTCCCCACACAGCTTCAGTCTTAGGCAGGTTCCCAGTCCCTGGGACTTGCATGGAGTTTTCTCCATAATCCTGATTCCTCCCTGTCTATGATAGTCAATGGTCAGGGCTCTAGACAGTTTCCTGTCCCTGTCCCAGAGATAAAGAGTTTTTCCTTTCCCTATTCCTCCAGCTGCAATGGATCTGCACTGGTCTTTGGGGAACAATAAGGTTTGCCTCCTGCCTTTCTTTCAATGGCAGCCACTTCTGTCCTCCAAGCCTGTACCCTTCAAGGAATCTTTCTCTTGACTTCTATCCTGCCATCAACCTTTGTCCTGAGTGCCCAGAGGAGCTCCCTGGGAAAGACTCTGTGAGTATATGTGAACTCCCCTTATGACTGAGGCTTCCATGGGGCTCCACAAGCATGCTAACCCACAGCCAGTCTCTAGCAATTTATTAGAGATTTAGCTGAATTTGCCTTTTCTGTTAGTATGGTGGTCCCATCTCCCCTCTCCTGCTCTGCTACTGGTAGGTAAGTCAATGCCTGCATCTCATATCTTTATAGAACAATCTGTCTTCTTTCCTTAGATTTTAGGTTGTTGATTGCTCTGTGACCTCAGGTCTCTGACTCAACCAAGGCTATGATTTTATAGATTATCTAGCTTACTGTTGTGGTGAGGACAATGCTATTCCCTGCTTTCTATACATCAGAAGCAGCAGAAAGATCTCAGGTGTTGTTTTATTAGGAGAGTCGGAGGGTCTCTATAAATCAACCACAGTAAAAGGCCCGTTACAGTTCTTATGCACGACGGCCTTTCTGCTTCCTTTTCTAACTCGCCCCTTCCTACTTGTTTTTCTGGCTCTCAGAGCTCTTGCTTTCCAACCCAAATTCCACTGTGTGCTCTGACTGTTCCCACAGTTGATGGCAGATTTGGAACACCTTTTCCACCTTGTAGCCTTTACTTCCTACTCCACCCTTAGATGTGTGGACTCTGAACATCATGCCAGTCCCAGAAAAGGAACATTTATATAAAACCGTAAAAGTCTTGGATTTTCCATACTTCCTCCTTATCCAACTATGTTCCCTACTTGAATTAACAAATATTTTTGAGTGTTACTAAATACAAGGCAACAATTGTGAGTGCCAACTGGTTTATAATAATGTATCAGGTTGGGGCTGGCGCCGTGGCTCACTTGGTTAATCCTCCACCTGCAGTCCTGGCATCCCAAATGGGCA